GCAAACGCCCTTCTTTTATCAGCGAAGGCGTTGTTTTTTTAGAAAGAAGCACGCATACAGTAATGGTTGCCCTTGATATTTTTAGCGCGAGCTATTCTTGGCCTCCAACAGATACAAGATGATCGAATTTATTATATTTTGCACTCGTTTAAAACCTCGTATAATAACAATAATTTAAAAACGAGAAAATAACGACAAAAACCTCCAGCTCAATACAATACATTTTAATTTCGAAGTACTACGGTAGCACCGTCCTAACACATACAGTACTTCATCTTGGGACCCGTGACCGACAGCATTAGCTCAGGAAAGCCATAATAATATATATCTAAAAAGCAACATGGAGGTGAACATGTGGAAGTGACGAAGAGGTCACGTGGTCGCTGAAATGGCATGAGATCGTGGGCGATTTGGAGAGACGCAGAGAAAGAGAGAAAGATGGGGCGAGCGCAAGCGACGCGGCAGGAGCGATACGTATGTCATAGCCGCTGGATGCGGAACGAACTGTTCCATCGTTCCTACCACCGCGTGCGTGCTATCAGTAGCGGCTGCAAGAGAACGAAAACAAAGGGCACAGCAGCATCAGTGGCCAGGCGATCGACTAGTAACTGATCGATTACTCGGTCTCCATTAGATGTGTTGCACGTCGTCGTCGTCCTTCAATCGATAGCGTTCTTCTACCCGGAATGGTTTGCGGACCGGACGTAGAACGTCCTCAGAGTCAGCTGATTGGGCCAACTAAGCCGCTAGCGACGACCGGACCGGACAACTAGAAGGCTATGATCTCATCGGCTATAAGCGAAGATGCGCCGACAGGTCCAGATCGATGCATTCGCACTTTTTGATCTGAAAATGACAAAAGCAAAAATAGGTGGTAATAGGGAAGTCGATTACTGGGTCGATTATCGATCGAATGGATGTCTACTAACCTTCACAATGGACTTGGTAATTTGTGGCGGATCTTGTCCAGGGCAGTCCAATGTGACATTGACGGCATCGTAATCTCGAGGTACGCAAGCCGCACACGACTTGAAAACAGCCTTCAGTTTTTTGCTGTTCAGTCGTGGGATAAAGTACGAAGCACAGGTGCCGTGGCAGTACCTAAAAACGTGGCATAATGAAGTCCGTTATTGCAACTTCCTCAGTGAGGTCCATAATTGCACACTAGCGTGCTTCTAAAACGTTTTCGCTCTGGCACGTTAACATATACAGGGGGGCCAAAAAAAGTCACTTTCTTCATTGACTTTCGAGGCGCTATAAGTTACACTTTATTAAATTCTGATCGGACATTTTTACCACCATATTAAAGAGCATATTAAATACTATTATGACACTCCGCCACAGCCTTCTGGACGAGCGCCATCGAGAGATTCTGGCACGCGACCGCGATGTGGTGCCTGAGATCAGCGAGATAGTCGATTTCTCCGCCACCGTAGACCACCCTATTGAACTCCGCCCGAACCGGGTAATTGAGGGATTTAGGTCAGGTGACTGCTTGGATATTCCATCTTCCTTCAGGTACTCAACGCCCTTCCATTTCAAGTAGGCGAGAGTTTTTCCAACGCCCTCCGATTCCATGTGGTGGCCAATGCTGTAGCAGTACAAAGTTTCCAAGAAGGTACGGGCGACGACATGTGGAGAGGATATTCTTCTCGAGTTGCTCGATGTAACCGCCAGCGCTCACCTTCAGTCCGGGGTCCACGAAGAAAATATCGTCTTTCCATTCCAGGTACGTCCGGTCCCACCATCAACCCGCGCCTTGGCGACTGCGGTGAAGATGATGTCCTAGACCGTGGCGACGTTGTCGGAGCTGCTCGATGTTGGAGGTCTTCCAGATCGAGAGTACTGGTCTCCAGGTAGCTATCCATGGGTGACTCCATACTAGAAGTTTCGCAGCTGTTTGGAGGTGACATGAATTCCAAAGGTCTTCTCCAGTCAGGCTGCGACTGGAGATGACTTCATATTTTGGTGTACATGAAGGTGATGGGCAAGAGCCAGCTCCTGCTTATCGAGGAACATCTTGGGTATCTTCCGCCCTGGTACTCGTATCCACGTCCTCTGTCTGGGCTGCGAAAACTTTGCTGATATGTGACTCGGTCGAAGTGACTTTTTTTTGCCCCCCCCCCCCCCCCCCCTTGAGTAATTATCCTGTGAACGACAGAGCGCGTGACGGGAGCGTGGCCTGAAGCGCAGCCAAGGCAGATTTTCCACCAGTTGTAGCGAGTTCAGGATAGCATCATCGATGGGAAAAGGCTGATCTGGCTGCGCCCAATCCAGGCCGTGTCACACTCCCTACCGTTCTCAGGGATCATGATTCTATAGTTTATAACATCGCAACGAGTCGGGGGAGCGCAGTGCGGCATGAGCTCGCCCTTGGTCGCCTTGCTATCAATGGAGATCGAGCACTGTTCGATGCAGGAAGGTTATTGGTGGGAACGCCATGGGCGGATATCGACTGATTACAACCCAACTGGTTGCGGTGAACAGTAGATTGCTGTGGATGTTTGATCAATCCTTGAAAGTATTATATTTCAACTCTTATGGGTGGTGAGTAATATGACAGAGCTTTTTATGCCACAGTCGTCACATTACGGTGAACGGAATTTTGCTCAAGAAATCTTTAGAAACCAAGAAATATCGCGAATTTCATCTCTATTTTTTCCAATTATTTCCAATCTTGAGTTGCCTTCTGTGCTATGGAATAGAAAAAAAACAATGAGAAAAATTCCTCACAACACGGTACGAGCCCCCACCCCTCCAGCGACCAATTAAGACCTCCACCATATTCTACGGAGCGGACAGTGACCCCCCCCCACCTTCCCGAAAAGCATGGTGTTGTAGCCACGAAAAATCAACACTTAGAAAACAGCTACGTGCTTGATCTCAACCATTCCATTGGGGATATTCTACCTACACAATTTTCATTCAGGATCGTAGAGTCTGCTCGCCCCGAGCTCAAAAGTTAACTAGTAATCGATAGGAAACATCTTTATCGTTTTATCAAGGTCCCCTTTTCCAGTGATTATTTTTAGTTCAGTCTTCGAATATTCACGTTCACTGTACTGTTTTCCTTGTCTTGGCTAGGACAGGCACGTTCACACGAGAGGAAGTCGGTGCTGGTGGAACCTTGCCAATTATTCAGGCGTCCGATGGCAGCACACGTGATCAGACGCCGTCTGCCACCTTTCTTTTTCCCCGTGGAAGCTCCCTCGAAACATGTCAGTGTCCCCCTTGCATATCAAAGGATTCTGATCACGCCGCCCCCCAGGTCTCTCCGATATTATCAGTTCCATCACTTAGAATCAACCCGTAATTGACAGGCATGCGAGCAAAATATGACAATAACAGGAGGCACGGTAGCCGCGATATTCCGGGCACACCTTCCGTTAGACCGCGATTTTTGGTCTCACGATTTGGGAACCCGTAAATGATCACATGGTAAAATCGGATCGATGACGTCGAGGCTTATCATCCCGAACTACTTTTAGATACCCACAATTGATATGAATTGGGAATGGAATGCACGGGGTGTCGACATGTTTCCAGCAAAGGAGCTGAGAAGGGCAGAGATGAGGCGTCAAACGAGAGAGTAGCGATGGCATGTAACCGGCGGTAAAAATTCCACGAACGATAAGCAAAAGAGCAGAAGAGCCGAATTTCCCGCTACACAAATGCCTCCATTCTGTAATTGAGGGAAAGATCGGAACTAAAGAAAAACGTTTTTCACAGGTTCCTCACTTTTCGTGTTTTTTCCCGTTTCACATGCGCTTCTGACGACCACGCCCCTTTCCCCACCACTCGATGGTATTTTTTTTGAGAAAAGCCGGAAAACCTCTCGAAGAGTTGGAGTGATGAGAAAGGAGCTAAGAGAATTGAGAGAGAGGGGATGGAGAAAGGGGAAGAGGACATTGGGGGGGGGCGTATTGACACCGCTACTCCATCCATCCCTGATGCTCTATCGTGATGGTGACAGCTACAACTTTTCGACGTGGCCAGGCTCTCACTGGGCTATATAAGTACCCCCCCGTGAACAAAAGTGCTAGTATACCTCTAAAAATGGGCTGGGCAAGCTACCTATGTAAAAAAAGTCCGGAAATGCAGGGTCACACTAGCTAGAGGACGGTTAGAAGGCAAGGAATCGCCGACAAGTGATAGGGTTAGTGTGCTTAATAAACTTTTTGCCATGATCCGGCTGCTAAAGTATAGCGTAGAGACGTGAAATACAGCAGTTGCCAGAGCATGCAAAGGTGGGAGGAAATCTGGTGAACCCGGGGACGAGCCTCATCGAGAGGAGGGGGGCTGCGGCGAAAGCGAGCAGTTTTTTACGTGTGAAAAGGAATGGTCGTGGAACGTTGTTGTATGGAAGACGGCACAGAAAAGAACAGAAAGTAGTGCTTTGAAGTTCCAAGCTGCTCATTAAGTCAGCTCTACGTTCTTTTTGATCAACATCTGGGATCAACGTTTATGTCCCACTTAGTTCGCCTATTAAACCCGTGAAACTCAAACGTATTTTACAAGAGAAGCGAGAAACTTCAGAGCGCCAACTGGTCTAGGAAGGAGTGGACCACCCTATGGACTTGGCATCCCTATCAAAACATTTCCGAGCTCACTTTGTTGAATGTAACCACTGCTCATAAAAGTACTATTTCACCTTTTCTGGACTGTATTATTTGGTGGAAGCTTTCTATGATTATGGTTGTCCAGCAACCTGGGAAGTATTAGAATTTCTCAAAAATTTTCCTTGAGCTCAATTTAGTTTCTTCGAGATTTTCAGGCTACTGAATGAGCAAGAAAGTCATTTCCATGAATTACTTGTTCAGAAAGTTAGTACTGGTGACCTACCTGTTCACAATGACTTTTGTGAGGCATCCGGGTGCTTTTACTCGTTGTTTGAATTTTGCACTCTCACATCGTTGCATTTCTCTCGTTTGCGGGTCTTTCAGGGTTATCAGAGCCTGATTTCGACCATCGATTAAGGGTTTTCGTCGGCCTAAATCTGATATATAATTATCAAAGACTACAAAAAGCCAATAATGTTCAACAAATTTAGTACTTATAAAAAGCAAATTTATCACTGTGAAATGCGTCATTCTTCCTCTCCTTTACTGATGAGCACAGAAGGAGGATAGAACGAATCGTTTAATTTCCATCTAAGGGCACGTGCGAAACGAGAACTGAGCGACTCTTTTCATCACCCTCAAGTTTCACTGGGAGAAAATTTCGAAAAAAAGATGAAAAAGATAGAGATTTTATATAAAATGAAATAAGAATCAAAGTAGTCAACTTCTGTAGGGCACCCAAAAACGCTTGTTGTCGGATATGAATGGCCTATCCATTGTTCTCTTTTTAATAGATTGTAGATCGCCTGGTTCAAAAGCCATTAATTTGATTCAGCTGATTTTTCAGTTCGGGGTGTTAAGGAAGTTGGGGTGTGGCGGCGACTGAACCACGCCTCTTGGTGCTAGCCTACACTCAAAATTCCTGAGATGCGGTGGGCGTGGTTAAGGGCTCAAACTGAACGTATCGGCGGCTGAGCTTTCCGTGAGATTTTTCATTTTGAAACAATTGTGGTCATGTCCAACACAGAACAAGAGGGTAGTTGTCTAAAATTTAAATATCCCACAAGTATTTCATCCTATGCCATGTTTAAATGCCTGCTCCGTCTCAGGGATAAAGAGTGTATTCACTCACTGGCGTTTTAGGCACCTTCTTTCATCAGGAGGAAGATTTACAGCATACGCCCCTCCCTTGGAATTTCCGCTTCCTCTTCTGCTCCAATCCCTTCGTATCCCCCATCCTAACTATCATCTTTTTAAGTTTTCCCAACTTCCAGTCACGTTTCCGCAGTTTTTCTTCAACATCCCTCCCCCCCCCCCACCCCCAAGAGACTAATGTCGAAGTGGAGGAGAATGGGAGCATAGTGCACTTGGAACAGGAAAAACCAGGAGAAGTCAACAACCGAAAACATCTTCGAAAGGCAGGTACGCTCCCTCCACTCCAGCCATAAGATACGACCCTCTCCTCCCTTGCAGCGGCCAAATACTCTGAACCCCCGTAGCTAAGGTTCCCCAGCGTGTGGCGTGTACTGCTTGGCGTTAATCAAACGTTCCAAGCACTAACACGTTCAGTGGATTCAGACAAGCAGAAGAGGGTTTGGTCTAGTCTCACTGCCAAATACCCGGTCCCTACACCTCCCGGAAAACATTGAAGCATGAAATATTATTCATACGTACTAGGCATAGCTTTTAGAAGAGCATGCTAATACTAAACCT